TGATTCTGAAAATGAGATTTGAGTTTAGCTTGTTTCTTTGCAGAATATCCTGATTTGAGACTTTGAGAATAAGTCTTCTATTTCTGAAGATTTGAAAGTTTTTCTCTTTTTACATTTTCTTTTTCACTTTTCTATGAATAGGGGTATGAGTAGTATTCTTCTCAGTTTTCTCAGGATTTTGAGCAGATTTTGAGACAGCAGATTTAGAGACAGCAGATTCAGCTGCTTGAGTATATGTTTTCTTCTGATTCAAAGAAGAAGAAGAAGTAGGAAAAAAGAATGAAGAAGAGTAAGATGAAGAGTCAGTGATTATACTAGAAATTTTTAATGTTTTTTAAACTGTGTTTGAGATTTCAAGTTTGAACTTGATTATCTTCTGTAGTTATCTAGTCTGAGTATGAAGAATTAATAGAACTTCTTCATTCATCTCACTCAGACACTGCTTTTCAAGAATCTTACTTACTTTTTCAAGTTTCTGTATTTCAAGAACTTGTTATTTCTCTATTTCTTCTTTCTTTCTTCTCTTCAGAATTTCAATCTCAGAAATAGCATTTGAGAAAGCATCTTTTTCCACATTAACTGAGTGTATTTTTAAACTCATTATTTTCACTCAATGAAAAGTTGATCAGACTGTTTCAATTAAGATATTTCTAAGTCTGTTTTCAATTGAAAAGTTGATCAGACTGTTTCAAAAGAAGAATAAAAGACTTTTATATATAAAATACCTGATTTTTTTCACACTAGTTCAGTAACTAGATTAGATTTTTGAAGAGAATCTAATAAACTAAAATTGATTTTTGAGATAAATCAATAATATCTTTACAATCTCTTTCTTGAGATATAGTGAGGAAAAGTATGATATCAATTGATAATAAATCAGATGATATGACAGTTTTTGAGAGAAAAACTGATAAAAAATAAATCAATTTTTTACAGAGAAATTGATTAAAACTATTCAATTTTATTCTAAATTATTCAATTCTTCTCACACAACAAGTGTGCAACTCAAATCAGTTAATAAAGAGTGTAAAAAAGAATTAAGTATTAATGAAAGCTCTTCAGTCACTGAAAAAGTAATTCTTACTTAAAAGAATATGAAATTATGACAGAAAACAGCTCTGTTTTTAATTCTTTGTAAGAATATTGTATAAAACTCAGAGAAAAACATCTTACTTTTTCAAGAGAAGTAAAAAACTATTTCTAAGATCTTTTTTTTATACATTGACTGCTGTAGAAGAATAAGATAGAAACTACTAAGATATGCACTACTATATACTCTCTATCAAGACTTTCTCTCTTCAGAGTCTTGATATTATAGAGAATATAAGTCTGTTTCTATATAATAATATAAATATTATCAGTGGGATGTAGAGGAACTGGTTATTTATATCTCAAAATAGAAGACTTTATCAATGATTATATTAATATAGAGTTAATTCTCAAATTCAATAGAAATCTAGTGTTGCTGTTCTCAATTCCTTGCAGAATCTATTGAATATTAAGATATTAAAACTAGATTTAATATATCTCACTGTGCAGAGATTAAAGACTCAGTCAGATCTTGAGATATACTGATTTTATAGTTGTTGATATGCTGTTGACTCATTGTCTATTGATTATATACTTGATATTATCACTGAGATATTGTTTTATATTTTTCTGCTAGAGATGGGCCAGATTGAGAAGAACAGTATGAGGGTGAGACTTGATGTTAATGTTTTGAAATATCAAAGATGAACAGACTTTTCACAGAGATCACTCCTCAGATATCTTCACAACTACAGATTAAGAATCTTCTAAAATCAAGAAGATTGGTGCATGCAGCTAGGTCTCTTCATCTTACAATTTGTATGGCAATTTGGCCCGGGGTTGTGGTGTGATAGGGGAGAATGAGGGATAATCCCACGCAGGAGTTTCAAATAACATCTGGTTCACATTTGGCTGGATAACTCCACCACCACACGGGGTATGCAGTCGGCGATGGGGTCAAAATGCTTGTATGATCGAGGGCTTTTTGATGGATCTATCGGCGGGTTCTTATTCGAAAAATCGAGCGAGTTCGTGGTGGAGCGGTTTTTTTGAAGACGGCAATTGACACTGTTAAGTAATATACTTACTAAGATTAAGTTTTCTACTTTTTGAATTTATGAGTAGAAAGTAGAAAACTTAATCTTACTAAGTACATCACTTAATCTTATTATATAAGTTAATCTTGCAAATGTGACTTATATTACTATCTAATCTTACTTAATATATCTTTTCTTATAATTTAAAATCACTCTTTCTTTCTTAATTATTTATCATCAATTCTACAATTAATTCAAAATCAATTTAAAATTAATTTAATACTGAAATTATTCTTGAATTTAATAATAAAGTAAGTGTTTATATAATTTATACTGAATTGATTATTAACTGATTTTCAATCAATTATTAATTACTTCAATATATAGATTGAATTTATTTTATTACTATAATTAATTCAGAATTAATTTAATACTGAAATTATTCTTGAATTTAATAATAATACTGAATTGATTATCAACTGATTTTCAATCAATTATTAATTACTTAAATATACAGATTGAATTTATTTTATTACTATAATTAATTAATAATTAATTCAGAATCAATTCAAAATCAATTTAAAATTAATTTAAAATTAATTTAATACTGAAATTATTCTTGAATTTAATAATAATACTGAATTGATTATCAACTGATTTTCAATCAATTATTAATTACTTAAATATATAGATTAAATCTATTTTTATTACTATAATTAATTCAGAATTAATTCAGAATCAATTTAAAATTAATTTAATATTAATTATTAAATATTTTTATCTTAATATATTTTAAAATTCTGTAAAATATCTCTTTATATTCTATATGAATTTGTCTGTTTATTTAATTGATTATGAATCAGCTATACATGCTTTGATTGATTGATGAACTGAGTGAATGAGAATGAGTGAATTGAAAGATTGAGTGAATTAAAAGATTGAAAGTCAATTACCAACTGATTATTACTGTATTGTGCGAGGTCGGGGTCATGATTATGTAATGAGATCAAGTGGCGCACTTAGCGAGGTCAAGTTTTTGTAGGCTACTGAGGCAAAAGAGCTCAATCACCACCAGCGCACTGCTGGTAGAAGGGCCGATCAACCGCGGGACTCTCAACAGTTTTCTGTATACACGCTAACTTGTGAAAAGTTATTATAGAATAGTTCAAGGTTGTATTGATAGATCTATCTACAGGAACATAATATAGTGATGAGTCACGTGATCTAGTGGGATTACTAACTGCAACGGCTGTAAGGGTCAACACTCCCTCTCAAGATAACAAGAATCACATACAAAAACACTCAAATCATCAAGATAGTCTGTCAAAACCAAATACAAATGTAAAATTAAACATTCTCAACTTTTACATCTGTAAGACCTAGTAAAATCATGAATCATGCAAATGTCACATTATCTAGAGATTTAGTGAGTTCATTTACTGCTATTTAAGTGATAAGAATATATTCTAAATCAATGACTCTCTGATTCAACTGTCAACATGAAAAATGAAAATATGTGTCAATGTGCTTATTTCAAGCTATAATGACTATTATCTTTGTGAGATCTATGACACTCTTATTATCAGTGAGAATCTGTATTAAAGATATAGTGATAAAGTCAAGCTTAATTATGAGATTCTGAATTCATATTGCCTCACAGATCATCTCACTAAGAGTCATATATTCAGTCTTATTAAAACTTAGAGATACACAAGATTGCTTTGCTGAATGCCATGAAATCAGGTCATCTGTGAGCTTAAAAACATAGCCAGATGTTGATTTTCTATCATCATTCAAGAGACCAGCTCAATTGAAATCTGAGTAGCTGAAGAGTAGATAGAAATCATCAGAAAAATCAGAGATAATGAAAGAATTGATAGAAACAGATCTCTCATACAGACTGCATCTGTAGAAAATACTCAGATTTATAATCTCTTTCAAATAACATATAACATGTAATAGAGTCTTTCAATATTAAGATGTTGAATCAATGTTCTGTTAAGTAAGTAGTGAGATAGTATGAGTGATATCAGAATGTGTTTTAACTGCAAGATATTGCAAGTAATTCACATTATATTGATATCACTGAATTGTGAAATCAGTCTCTTTCTTGAGTATAGAGAAATCATTAATACAGAATTCATTCTTTATTAATGTTCTGATAACAGCTGTATTATCAAGATAGAAATCTTCAACAAGGCATTTAATATATTAATAATATATCAAATCAATTCTCTTATCTGAATAATTGATCTTCATACTCAAATACTTAGTTGACTGATATAGATTCTTGACTTTTAATTTCTCACTGAGTATACTCACTAGTCAATCAGCATTCTCAGAAGCTTTGAATATAATGTTGAGATCATTAACATAGATTATCATATAAAGATGACATCTGAATGTATGATATCAGAGCACTGAATCATAAGCACTGACTGTAAATCTGAGATCACTCAACAGAGCTGTTAAGTAATCATATCAGATCTTCATCACAGAGTTCAGACTGTATAGACTATTCTCAATCATGCAGACAAGTGTTTTCAGTGAATCTGTCTCAAATTCAGTGAATTATCTTATATAGATCTTCTTAGTGAAGTACTTATGAAGATATATTATCACTATATTCACTTGATGAAGTATTCAACTGTGTAGTACTGCTATTGTAAAAAGAATATGATTGACAGTATCAGTGATGACAGAAGTGTAGATCTCTTCTCTAGAATTCTTCTTAAGTCAGTTATCACAAATCACTTAACATGATTTCTTAAGAATATTATCAGAATCAGCATTCAGATTCACAGGTCTATCTTTCTCAAGAAATACTCAATGACCTGAAGTAATCAGTTCATCTCTCAGAATATCAGATCTAGAGATCAAACTTCATATATTGTGTCTCTTCAGGTCAGTAATCTCATGTTATATGAACTTCTTTCAATAATCTTCTACTCTCTCTGACTGAGATGTGGCATTCTTGTAGAACTTCAGAAGGTTGCCTGTAATGAGACTTAAAGTGTAAGTAGTCAGTAATTTCGCGGGCTGCAACCATGTAGAATTCAGATCATTAATGTCAGAGATGTCTTCATCATCAATCAGATGAATATCAGGCTTCAGTTTAACAATATAATTGATGAGTTTCACAGATGTAACAACCGGTTTTCCAGTGATCAGAAACCTCACATTACTACTGACAATAATCTTGTCAGATTCAGGATGTTATAGGCAATATATCAATGTGTCACTGAATTTAATAATATGATAGAAATCAGCACATGAAGAAAGCTTATCCACAGGCTGCTGAGATCCATGCAAGTGAACAGCCTCAGTGGCCGAATAGTTAATGCGGCCACCTGGTAGCGCCTTGGCTTGGGAAACCAAGGCGCGTGGGTTCGAAACCCGCAGGGGATACATTAAATCCGGAACTCAAGCACCTCAGGTTTCTAATAAATACAGAGGTGTACAAATCACTTCAATGAATCACTCTATGTTCCTGAGCTGGGAAGTTATTATTGCATGTATCTAATTGTCACTTCTTTGTATTTTCCTATGTTCTTGTTATCTTGGCATGGTCTCAACACCTGTATTTCCTCCTGTATAATTAACACTTGACCTGTATTTAACATCATGCAAGGACTCATTATAAGCTCCGCTTGCATATGAGTATAATGAAAGAATAATAATAATAATAATAATACAAGTGAACAAAAACCTCTGCATTTAATTGATGAAAATGCCTCACATTCAGCAGGGTATTCATAAGTGCACATTAAGAAATCTTATATAGACTTGAAATCACAGAAGTCTCTGCAGTAGAGGGTCAAAATTTCAAGTTGTAAAGAACTGTAGATGTGAAAGTATTATTAATTATTACAATCACTGTCTTTAGAATATCTGCTCAGAACTTCTTAGAAAGATTGTCTTTCAAAAGAGCAGCTCTAACTCATCTCATGATAGTACAGATCTCATGTTCAGAAATGTCATTCTGATGTAATGAATATAATGCTGTTGATTCTCATTTAATATTATATGAATTCATAACTGTGTGTATACATGTGAATCAGAAAACATCATCAATATCAGTCTGTAGAAAAGCAGAGACTGTATATCTGAGATTACTCATGAATCTGAGTTATAACTCAAAGTATTGAACAGCCTCATTCTTGAACTTTAAAAAATACACTCAATGATAGCAGGTTGCATCACAGATGATAAGCATTCAGTATTTTATTCTCTGACAGAACTCTAAGAGATGATCAGAGAGATCTTTCAATATACATTCATCATCTACAAGATTAATATGAATCTTCTCAATGAGTTGAATAGATCTAGACATTAGTGTTTTTAAATAATCTCATGTCATATCAGTCTTGACACATTTCTTGTAAAAGAACTTAGTCTTAGAACCTTTAATTGTGACTTCAGTATAGAGATTCTTGGCCATAGCAATTATAGCATCAGCATGAATGTGACTGAGATTGTAATATCAATTCAAAAGAGTCTTTAATATCTTTGATGTCTGTGTTTTTGTATCTGCAGAATCAACATTATTAACAGTAGTGACAGCAGTCACAGAAAGATCAACTTTTCAATCAAAATTATACTTATGAGATATCATCACAATGTACTTGACTGCTCTGTTTAAATGATTGAAATCCTCATTGAACTTCTGCTTGTTAATTCTATATATATTGTTCTGAGTGATCTGAACTGTATGAAAAATAACACTGTTCAAGACTCTGCAAATGAAAAATGAGGGAATAGTGAAAGACAATGTAAATTGAAATCTCTGATCTTCAAGCTTTGTAAATGAGAGCAGGTTAACTGTAATATTAGAAATATAGTGAACATTCTGCAAGTTAATATCATCACTCTCAATCTTCAAGGTGATAGTCTCAATCTTCTTGATAAACTCAGTTCTCTCAGTCACAGAATTGACAGAGATATTATCATTAAAAGATTTGATATTTGAAAAAGAATAAAACTCATTCATCATATTCAGGCTTGCACATGTGTTCAAATATCAAGATCTAGAGAATGATTTTTCAGTGACTGTGAAGAAGAAGTAGAACTTAATCTTTATAATTACTGCATTCACTGCTGATTAAGAACTCATCAAGTCATTCTTCTTCTCTTTCTTCTTATCATTCTTCTTGTCATTCTTCTTTTTCTTTTTATCAGAGTGTAAGATGAAACATCTATTAACAGTATATCTATATCTTCTGTAGTGAATGCACTTTCATACAGATGTGCTTTTATTCTCATCTTTATTCTTATTCTTTTTTACAGTTACAGAATCAGTCTGAGACTGCTTTTTCTGCTCAGTGATGATCTTCTTGAATGTCTGATTGATCAGTTACTTTATCAAATCATTAATATTAATATTGATAATGAGTCTCTGATCAGTGAAGAAAAACTTATTCAAATATGTCTTAATAAATGATCTTTGATAATCTTGTAGATTGTTAAGAAAAAGATCATGATATATATTCTCAGTACTCTGACAGAGCTTCTTGTGATAGATAATAAAATAGTGAAAATGTCTCTGAAAAGTAAGATAATCATTCTTCTTAACTTATAATTTTATCAATTTCTTGAAGATATTAACTCATTTCTCTGTCAGTGATATTATATATTTCACATTAATCTTGTCTTACAGAGCTGCAGTATTGTCAGCTTTCAAGGTTTTAATAGTGATTCAAATGTTTTCAATAAGACTTAATAGCATACATCTATATAGAGACTTAAAACAGATTCTTCACTTCTCAGAGTTAATATGATATATAAAAGAGAATTCTTATTAAGTTCTTAATAGAATATCAGTTTTATCAATAACTTCTGTATTAGTTAATATATTAACACACTAGACTTTATAATTAGAGTTATCAAATATAATCACTGATTTAATATCTAGTGTATATTTAACTTTCTTCTGATATTCTTATAACTCATTTCTTATAGTGTCTCTTTATACAGAGATAGATATAGTAAGATGTTAAGTAGTTTCAGTTATAGTTATTTAATTCTGTAGTATTATCTGTATAAGATTCATAAGATTGTCTGCAGTGTAATAGATAGATTGATTTAGATCATTATTAAAAGTCAGCATTTCAGAGATAAGAGATAATAAAGAATTCAAAGAGTTAAAATAAACAGATTCTGCAGATGAATGTTAACTCTGCTTTTCTTTATTCTGAAGTTTCTTCATTGTCTCATCATTAAATTTCATACTCTGATGAAAACTGATCTCAGTCTTATCTTATAAGTCAGAAGCTTTCTTATAATAAGTGATTATTCTATCAATGAGTTATCTAGTGAAGTGTGTGATTCTGAGTCTTGAGCTGAACTCTGAAGTAACAGATGTATTACTTATATCAAGATAGCTCTGCTTCTTCTAGATGTGTAAAAAAAAAAAAAGTGATATTCTTCACAATGAAGAATATGCTTTCTTAAAAATATAAAGTATATAAATTCACTGACTGACAGATTCAGAGAAAATGAAATATCTCTAATAAGAAGTAAAAGTCTTTTTAAAAAAGATGAACTATCTGTATCAAAAATATTGATACAATGTTCTAAAAAGAAAAACATGCCATCTGAGCTATAACCTGTAGAATAGTTCAAGGTTGTATTGATAGATCTATCTACAGAAACATAATATAGTGGTGGGTCACGTGATCTAGTGGGATCGCTAACCGCAACGGCCGTAAGGGCCAACAGTTATATGGTGGAAGGATTAGTAAGCCAGATCACGTGACCTGACATAAAAGGAATGGTCATAGAAGAAAAAAAAAAAAAAAAAAAAAAAAAAAGAAAACTTCTAAACATTTTTTGAGGGAGGGAGAATTGAATAAACCACTAGGAGTTGTTGCACATGCATGAATAATAACAATGGCTCGTGAAAATGAAACAAATATTTTAGCTTGCTAAACTTAACTATCAACAGATCTATAACTGGCCTGCAATATTCCCCCAAGGGATTTGAAAGGAAAGTATCCGAGATACTGAAATTCAACCTACCTATCATTGTTTCAACCAAAGACTATGTGGCGCGCGAGAGAGAGAACTGGGCTTGTTCAGTGCCTTTTTATCTCTTCCTTCCCCCCCCCCCCTTCCCCCCCCCCTTCCCCCGCGATGGCCCCCTTAAGTAATAATCCATACAAACCCATGAGCATAGTAATACACATAGCTCCAGACATTTAGTACTCCTTGCGGGAAATATACAGAGTTAGCGAGTAAAAATCGCGAGCTCCTCTGCTCGTGGGCCTTGGGCTGGTCGAGGGGTAGGTAGGTAAGTAGGTAAGTAGGTTGCTTGCAACTCATTACTTGAAGCAAGGAGATTCTCATCTGGGGGTTCTTCACGCCCTAAAGCACTCCCACGCACAACCACTATTCCGCATATTGGTTTCGAAATGCAGGAGACGATTTGTTGCCCTTTAGAGATAATAGAGTTAAATGGAGCTAAGGCGTGCTTACAGATGTCGTCAGGCCCAAGGATGTATGTTGCCAGCTAGATAATGTTAGAATATAAATGTATAGTATAGTTCAACGATAGCGTGAGATGACCAAAGTGCTGGGGTACCATGTATGTGTTTAGGGAATATTGAATGGAAACCATGTAACTAGCCCGCGGGTGGGAAAGATTTGATAATTATTTCCCCTTTTTTCTAAGTAATATATAAAATATATATGTGTAAAATTCGTTTCATTCTGGGTAGGGAGTTATCTAGTCGTAAACCCTTGCTGAGGACCGGGTATGTTCAAATAATTAGCCAAAGGGAAACAAAAGAAAAAAAGAAAGAAGAGAAAGAGAAAGCTATATACATGGTAAGAAAAGAGGGGGCGTAGAAGATAGGAGTAGGAAGATGGGATATGTATGTACAGAGAGGATGGCATGGTCCTCCCTTTACAGCTCAGACAGGATGGAAGAAAGGGTGGGGGGGGGGTGGGGGCAGGACAGGATCTTGCGTCACGAAGAATGCAGGGGCTCGTACGCAATTTAGAACCGCGCAATGACCTTCTCCTGCGTATCCGACAAGGCCCACTGGCTGCTGTGTTCCTGCTAAG